CTTACATTCCATTAGTAAGAGCTTAATTCTTGGTGAGAGCAAGGGAGACTGAGCAATATAATGTGACTGGGCTGCTGTGTACCTGGCTACAGTGTATCACGATGGAAAAAGAGAAAAACAGATGTTTGTGGTCTACTTGCAGTCTTTCACAGCTGCTACAGAGGACCTTTGTCAAGTATGTGAAAGTAGTGCATACATGAATAAAACTAAAAATCTCAATGAAGTTAAGTGTTCTGGGAAAAATATAAATGGACAGAATTGAAGCAAATAGATGTAGAAAATGTAAAAAGGATTATGACCATAATTATTTCCCAAATTGCCTTTGTATTAAAGCAGCTTTACTGCTGCATAATTTTTAACTTTTAAAAAGTAGATAAACACCCCATTATATAAACTTCTTCAGAGCATTGAATGAGTTTGCCATCCAATTCATTTTAAGAAGGTAGAATATTCCTAATGCTTGAAAATATAACCTAGTTTGATTATATAACCCAGTAAGAAACTTTCTAAACCTGTTATATAGAATATAGATAATATAGAGATCTTCAATAAAATATTAGCTAATAGAAATCATTAGCCTGTTAAAAGGATCATCCATGATGATCAAGCATGGCTTAATCTCAGAAATACAATGATGGTATAAGTTTAAGAAAACTATCAATATCTGATTACTTATATTTCCCCAAAGAAAAAACAAATAATACCAATCAAATATGAAGAGGAAAGTGTCTTTTTTTAAAATTCCTGATCTTTGAAAATTGTTTTTAAAATACTAGGCATATAAAGATTTCTTAGTATGATAAAGAACGTCTTCAACCAACAGCCAAAATATTTAACTATGCTCTGCATTAAGATCGTGAAGACAGGAAACTACTACAGTGCCCCCCCCATTCAGTTTTGATTTCTGTGGTTTCAGTTACTTGCAGTCAACCAAGGTCCAAAAAAGTTACATGCAAAATTCCAAAAATAATTCATAAGTTTTAAAATTAAAATGCACACCATTCTGAGTAGCCCGATGGAGGCTCACCACGTCCTGCTGCGGTCCCCCCCCCCCCCCCGTATGAATCATCCTTTTGTTGAGCACTTTCCACCCGTTAGTCACTTAGCATCTCCTGGGTTATCAGATCCACTGTCATGGTATCACAGTGCTTGTATTCAAATCACCCTTATTTTACTTAATAATGGTGCACACAAAAATAGTGATGCAGGTGATTCAGATATGCCAGAGAAGCTGTAAAAGGTTTACTTTAGGTAAAAGGTGGAAGTTCTCAACTTAAAGAAAAAAAAATCATAAGCTGAGGCTGCTATCTTCTATGGTAAGAGCAAATCTTCTATCCATGAAATTGTGAGGAAGGGAAAAGAAATCTGTGCTAGTTTTCACATCTCAAGCTGCAAAAGTCAAGACCACAGTGTGTGATAAGCATTTAGTTAAGATGGAAAAGGCATCAAACGCGTGGGAGACATGAACGGAAAACGTGTTCTGACTGACGGCAGTGAGTTTGGGCCAGAAAGCAATGAGCCTGTATGAAGACTTCAGCAAGGGATCTCCTGAAACTAGTGACCCCAAGCTCTGTAGTAGTTCTTCATATAATTAAATCGTTTTCTCTCCTTTTGTAATTCAGTCACAACCTCCCCCCCAGAATAATACATACTTTATGAGCTAGAGCTGACAACTTTCTGTGCATCCTCAAGTCATGAGATAAAGTAGTCTCATGAGTTGGAAGTAAACTCGAAACAAGTCGTAGAAATTCCACCAAAGAAACGCAAGAAATGTGGTACTTCTCCCTTCTACATAAAGCTCTAATCCCCCAAACTGGATTCTTACTTAACTTACAGTTTCAAAGCATGTATTATTTATATTACATATACATTATAAATGAGCAAGTTAGGCAGTTTGAGAAATACACTCTTTTATAAACGCTTCGGGTACCACAGAGTGTACTTCTGTAAAACTTATCATCAGACTAGTATTTGCTACTGATCAACATGCTGTCCCAAATGGTACTCTAAACTAAGTCCTCACAATAGAATAAAGGGGGGAATTATCCCTTAACAATAGACCCTGGAAGAATAGATGGACAATTTAGCTCAAAAATGTGGTCCACAAAGTGAAGTATGGGCTGAAATGCTCTGGACTAGGGCACTGTACTGGGTAAACAAACTGGATAATTACTAGTTTTCTGTTCACTTCACTTTGTGTCCTTAGGCCAAGGCCAAAAATTGCTGTCACACCTAAAACTAAATTATCAGGCTCTATACTAGAAATCAACTAGTGACAAAACTCTATTTTCAAGACACCTCAAGGTGGGTAGAGCACAGTGGTCGAGTGCATGCTGAGTATGCACAAGGTCCTCGGTTCAATTCCCAGTACCTCCATTTAAAAAAAAATTTTTTTTAATTCAGGACATCTCTATTGTTACGTAATTATTAAGAAAAACCTGTACAAAATTCTTGGGCCACTATGAGGGAATAGGTGCAAACTATAAAAATGTGGGACACCTTTAAAATGTAGGAAGGCAATCTCAACAACAGAGTAAGAGGCATATTTAAATCAGTTAGTCACCATAACCTGGCCTATTAGTTCGGTTCATTCATTCATTCCTGACTATTCTATTTAAAATTATAATTTCTACCTCCTTTACTGGGAACTCTCTATTCCTGTTTGTTTGTTTTTTTCTCTCCATTAACACTTACCATTGTTTCCCCTACCCCCCTCCCCAGCTAGGATGTTAACTTCAAAAGGGCAAGCTTTTTTTTTTCCTACTGTATTAGTTGCCGTATTGGAGAGCTTATAAGAGTCCTTGGAAAGATATATTTTGATTGAGTTTATTAAATAATTTTGAAGTCATAAACTGAAATTTCAGAAGGTATTTCAAAGATTTAACTTAATCTTAAATCTTCTTAAGCTTAAATCTTCAGCTGTATCATTTATTTTTGTTTCACTCTTAAATAACAGCTTAAAAAAGCCCTTAGGAAACATATACAATGAAGAACTTTGAAGGAAAAAAAACTAGCATATTATATACCTTTAAACAATGTAGTCCCCCCAAAAAGAGAAAAAATAAAGGAGCCAGGGATGACTCAACATCTTTACTTGTTGAATTTTAGTTTAGATGCAAAGGAACATTTTTCCCCTGTAAGTAATAAGCAAAAGCCTCTTTTATACACTTGCTGAGCAACTACAACTGAGGGAGAAATAGCATCTTTGAACCACACTAAGAAGTTGCAGCAATTCACTGAATTCTGTTTTGTTTTTGTAAACCTGCTCAACATTATGGTATATATTTATATAAAAGCATAGGTGAGCTTGGTTTGCAAACTCGTCTCTTTATTACGTCTTTTATATTACAAAAACAGTGACATCGTATGTCTAGCTTTTAGTATGAAGAGCAACTTCCCCATTATAGTAATTGTCAAAGGATGTAGATCGAATCTTCTTAGATCTGACTGTAATCATGTATATTTAAACTAAAAGAGGACAAATGTTTGGTGGTAAGTTTTTCTCTAACATTGTGTATTAAAATTTTAAGCAAGTTTAGTTAATATGAAAAAATGCAGTTTTGCCCTTCATTTTTGAAAACATTGAGTGTTGATATATAATGTGAAATTAAGCAATATCTGACAGATGGTAGGTATTCAATTAATGTACACTGAATAAAACTGCATGTTTTTGCTTAAAGTAGAGAAATAGATTGATGGTTCATCTTACTGTCTAAGAAATATTATTTCTCCTTTTAGACTTACATGCTTAATCAGAAGTTTAGAATTTTGGCATTCATAAGTAACTAACATTTTAGATAACCATATTTAAATCTACATTTCCTCAGGAAATACTAAAATCATTGGCCTTCATTAATAACTTCTAGCACTATAGAATAAACATATTTTAGTATTTTTATCAATTTATATACCAGGAAATGTATGCTACAAATATAGAGATATTACATCTTCTAATGAAATATTAATACATGAATGAATAAACTGAAATATAGTTTAAGACAATACAACAGATACGCTAGATCTGGGGTTTGTTTTTGAGTTCTTTTCATGGCAGCACTATTGGATTCACACTGATCTGTCTTCAGCATATTTCTGGTCCCTTCTTGACTATTCTTAGTATTTGTAATGTGTCTAACAAGATTGAGGGATGAAAGCCATGGTTGTAGAACAGTTGTATGTATTACTGCTCTACGTAAGAATTAAATCTAAAGCCTTGATTTGATTACAAAGAGTCTAACCCAAAGTTTTTCATATTCCTATTTCATGACACCGTAGGATTCCATGAAATAATCTGCAAGTGAAGTAGTCTTTGAATTTTTTAATCTGAGTTTTTCATAATCTGTTTATATGAGACTAATCTCTCCAAATCTAATTCTTTTCCTTTATTCAGTCTCCTAATTACTTTTTCAACCTCACTACCCTATTTTTGCTATCAGTTATATTTTGGGTACCAATTATAGTATATCGGAAAGTACATAATTTGAGTGTTACCACCTATAAACAGAACATTAGGTATACTTATTTATGACACAGAAAAGCATAATCTAAAAAAAAAAGGTTCTTTTTTCCAACTCCTACAACCACCATTTTCAAACTTACTCCTTTCATATTTACCTATTTGTTGTTGATGTTGCTGTTTCAGACACCTGTGCCATAAAATAGAGCATTTACTTAAACTTTTATCATTTTATTATATTATTATTTGCCTTTTATATGTCATTCCATAGATATACCATCTTGTTAAAGTTCTGTGACTTTAAAAAGTTTAAAGAGTTCTGCTTAAACCAGATAACTTAGTCATATACTAAACTAACTGCTGTATCTCAGTTGACCTCTGGAGTGGGGAAAATTACCAGTATTTGTTGCCAAGAATGAAAAGCTTCCCTTCCTACCGTCTTTTATCATTAGTCTTTGGTTTTGTGCCTTCTCTGTAATGATATAGGTTTGTTTCTCCTTTATTCTTTGCAGAGTGCTGCAGCAGCTCCCAGTCCAGTGCTAGGAAACATTCCCCCAGGAGATGGCATGCCAGTAGGTCCTGTGCCACCAGGGTTCTTTCAGGTACTCAGAGAAACTCTGACTAGGAATGTTAAGGCGTAGGAACTCCTGTTCCGTTTTATTTAAAGATATGAAGGAGAATGAGGCTATTCTAATGCTGTGCAGCCAACTCTTGGTTATTCAGAGACCTGTTGTCTAGTTTACAGACTAGCCTATCCTTCCAATGTCGTGTTTGTTGTCAATTTTTTATTCATATATTTATTTTGCCATTTCATTGTCCAAGTAAGGAAAAAAGTTGAAATGCAAATTAGACCATTAAATTAACTGTGCTAAAAGTTTGGTGGGAGAAGAGGCTAAGGATAAGGTTCTGAAATGACATATGGATTTTAACTATCTAAACTATCCGTATCTCCACAGACTAAAGATAATCAAGATTTGGCTGTACTTTAAAAATATGGCTAAATCATAACCTATTCATTTATCAAAATTATAGCCTGTAACAAAGTATTTTGAGAATCATCTTTGTGTCTTTTAAACTGGAATTTTTATCAATATCATTATGTAACATTTAAAAATCAGATTCTAAAATACATATGTTAGTATTTTAAATTTGCAACAAGCCCATTTATTTTAATAAAAGCTGATAATGATTTTAGAATTTTAATACATCACTTTTTAATTTTATGGCATCTACATTTAAATCTGACAGTTTTCTAACCCAAACCAACATAGATTTTAGATTTTTTAACTACATAATTAATTTTATAACACCTTTTGAGAAAGAATTTAGGAGTTAAGAACTATAGTTGGAAGGCATTACAGGAATTAAAGTAATATGCTGTATTTTTAATGAATTACATTAGGTATTTATAAACTAATTTGTCATTTTAGTGTTTTGTATTTTCAAAGTCCTTGATAATAATTTGTCAGTTAATGAGTATCAGCATTACAGGGTAGATCAATGTATTTATACATGTGAAAATGGAAAAAAAAATTATGAGTAATTTTCCACGGTATAGCAATTGAATAAAAAGGTCATAATTAGAACCTAGTACCAACTCTGAAATGTTAAGTCCTTTACCTCTGAAATGTTAGTCCTTGCTTAATTGTCTGGCTATTCCATATTAATATTCAAGTAGTCTAGAATATTTCAGAGTCTTTTAGAGCTCACATTCCGCCTTGAGGGTCCTTTCTTACAATCTAGGAACATACTCTAACTCTTGATTATTAATTAAGCAATCACTATTTAATCACAATAATAATAATAGTAGCTAACACTCAATAACTGCTTACTCTATGCCATGCTTTGTTCTAAATGTTTTACATGTATAAACTCTTAGTCCTCATAATAACCTAGATGTGAAGTATGAATTATTGTCATTCCCATTGCACAGATGGAAAAAAATAGGGCTTGATAAGCAGTTTGCACAAAGTCGGAAAGTTACAGGACTGAGATTCAAAGCAAGATTTCTGAACTTCTGCCTTGAATTTACCTTTTAAAGTTCATAGTTGATCATTATTCATAAAGTATTTGTAGCTAATTTTATGATTTTTATTCATGCTCTGATTTCCTGCCACGGATAGATCAGCATTAGGGAGTAAATCAGAAGAGTTTATCTGCTTTTAAGAGTTAGCAGAAGCTCTCTAAGTGGCACTTTTAAAAAGAGGGGGTGGGTTGGGAAGGAAGCCAAATTCCTCCTAGGATTAAGCAAAGATGTATAAACCCATACATTTTGTAGAATGAACCCACTCTCCCTTTACCTGCCTTCTGCCTGAGTCTTGGTTAGAGGAGTTGAAACAGAATTAACTTTTGCTCTACTCATTCCAATTAGATAAATATTTGAGCACTACTAGGTGCCAGGCACTTTAGCAGTGTGTAGATTATGTTCCATCCTCAAGCTTAGTATCTAGCCAGTGAGGTATGATTAAAAATAAATAGCTGTAATACAGCAAGGTATTATAACAGAGGTGTAAAGTTCCGTGCTGACCTCAAAGAGAGAGCTATTAAAGTGTGCCTGAGTTGGAACTAAGAGTGGCTTGGGAAAAGTTCTCCAAGAAAACAAGCAGAGGAGTGATAGTCCAGAAAGTGAGAACAGTACATGCCAAAGCATGGAAGCATCAGAAGGCCCGTGCAGAAGTGTCTGGAGTAATACTTACAGACAGCATAGGGAGGGCAGGCAGGAATTCCTGAAAGTGAAGTTGGAAGATACGCTCTAGCAAACTGAAAAGGGCCTTAGATGCCATGTTAACAACTTGGGTCTCTATTCATTAGGCTTGTAGGAGCTGTCAGAGATCTTTAAGAAGGGCAGCGTCCTGAATTCAAACTACAGAGTAGATTTAGTCTTTGTTAGGCACCTATCATAAAGTTGTATACACAATCCCTGCCCTCAAAAAACTTACATTGTGGTGAATGGGAGAACAGGCAATTAGAATAAAGGAAGAAAATGGCTATATTAAAAGAGTAATCTGTGTTTTTAGAGAAAATCAGAAGGCCTACACACCCAACCTTGGAAGGGTCATTGTCAAACCAATATTGGCAGAACAGTAAATAAAATCTAAATTGGCACCTATTTGAGTTTGGCAAAGGAGGCAGGGAGAGATGGAAAGAATATTCCAGGAAGAGGGGAAAAAATTTACAAAGGCCCAGAGGAGAAAGGAGAGACCAAATTTTTTTTAAAAAAAGAGCTTAATTAGCTAAAGGGAGAATGGCTTCTGATGCAGTTCCAGAGGAACCTTGTAGATCCTTGTAGGTTAAGAATTTGAACTTGATCTTAGGACAGTAATAAGCTATTGAAGGATTTTAAGCAGGAGAGAGGCATGTTCATACTTGCATTTTCAGAAAAAAATCACCCCAGTTATAGTGTGTAGCCAGGATTGCGAAGGGACGGGTTTGAAGGTAGGGAGACTTTATTTAGGAGGCTGATGCAGTAATCCAGGTGAGATTTGATGATGGCCTGAACTAAAGTAGTGGCAGTGTGTATGGAGAGATGAACGGGTTTGAGAGGCAATTAAATGTGGGAGGTATGAGTGAAAGAACTCAGGACTAATTTCCTGGCTTCTAGCTCTGACCTGGCAGGTGGAGGTTTCATTTTCAGAGATAGGGACCACAAAATGAGGAATAGGTTGGAGATGGAACCAATGAGAAGATTCCTGTGGGACCTCCATTTAGAGATACCCCTTAGGCTAATGAACTTACGGGTTTGAAGCCTAAGACTGTCATGTAGGCTAGAGATGAAAATCACAGAATCATCACCATATTAAGGAGCTGAATCCGCAGGGATAGACTAATTGTCCATGGAGAAAGTATATTGTGAGAGAGTAAAGGGGTTGTACATCTGAACTCCAAACACACTAATGCTTAAAAGAAAGACAAAGGCATCAGAACCCATTAATGAGAGCGGCACAGGCTGTCGGTTGGTATTTCAGTAGCTTGAGAGACTTTGTGGATTTATTCAAGGGCAGTGGCGACAGGACTGGAAGGGAAGAAGCAAAGCATAGTTATGTTTGATAGGCCTTAGTTCATTAACCAGATTAGGGGTAGAACAAAAAGAATTGGAGGGATCAAGGATGATTCTGAAGTTCCTACTTTGGGCCCCTGGAAAATTTTAATGTCTTTATCTGGGTTAGGAAAGATAGGAGACAGAAAAAGTTTTAGGTATGTTTGAGCTTAGACATGTCATTCCTCGTTATCCAGGGAGACCATTCAGCTCATGCTTTAAATAGCCTTTTCCCTTATTCAGTAGGTGTAAGTATGGCCGGTTTCCCTAGAAATGCCTCTCTGAAACATTGAAAAGCTCAAGCTATCAAACTGAAAAAAGAAATAGGATGGTATTATCTTTGGTACCTATAATGGTGGGATCAGAGTACCCAGGTGTTTCCTAAGTATCTGCTTTGGTTTCCTGTGGTGATTGGGCCGTCTTTCAGCATGATTCTGGCCCCAATGCCTGTTGTTAATGAAGAGTAGCTGCCTTCTGTGAGTAGAAATAGCAGCAAAACCATCATAATCCAAGTCCAAACACTAGTTTCTAATCCAAATCTGTAGAGATACTGAGGTCCAAGAATTATCCACAGTATGAAAATAGTTTTGAATACCCATTCTTAGTGAGGAAATGTAAAGCTTACTTGGGAACAGCTAGAATGGGACGAGCAAGAAAGGATTTAGCCTATTAGAATTTAATAAATCAAAGTAAAAAAAGGAGAATTTGTAATTAGCACCTAAAACTTCACCGGCTTCAACAGTTTTGAGCTCTTATTTGTGATCATACCATAGAAAGTACATTGGAAACACTCTCCTTTTAGTAGACATGCATACTCCTTTTATTCCTGTTTCCATTGCAGAACAAGCCCCGTCTTTTTCATTCTAAGTATAGATTTCAATCCATTACCAAGTGGAATTATTACAAACTCTAAATTTGTGAATTCATAACAACTGCATTTGAATAATGGCAACTAACTGAAACTCTAAAATAAATAGTTATAATTAACCCCCCATACATTTAATAAGTCAATCCTGGATAACAGTCTTTAGATTAGTGTCTATTTGTGGCAGATACCAACATTGTTCAAACTGAAACTTGGACACTGTTACTGAAACGAGAGTGCCTCTGTTGTTGAGTAGGAGACCAATTAAGTAAAATTAAGAACAGTTGGACATGCGAAAGGAGGTGTCAATTTAGTAAATAAAGCCATTTAAAGACACACTTATTTACTTGGAGTCTTTTATCAAATGTGTTATTTGTATGTCAAGCCCTGTAAATTCTTAAAATGACCAACTGTGGAACTGATGAATGACATTAGAGCAGCTTTCTCAAACGGAGAAGTCTTGCTGCTGGGGTCAGAGGAAAGAGTAGAAGTGACCATTGATCTAACTAGAGTTTGGCAGTTTTAATAGAAGAGAATACAGTATTGTGGGGGTGGTGTGGGTACACAGAGCCCTCAGAACTCAGTCTATACTCTGACTCTCCTGTCCCTGTCCAGCGTCTTCCTCAAAGTTTCATTGTATGCGAAGAAATGTGAATTATGTGTGAAAAACATCAATCTGCTATATATTCATTCTCACAGCA